ATTTTGAATACGCGTCCTCTAGCAGCGAAAATGACATATTGTGCCTTTAATTTGAGTTTACATAATTTTATATGATTTTGTCATTTGTATTATTTTTTTCTATTTTAGCTGACAAGGCAACATTTCTAATTTTAATTCATGTTTTTAAGTTTTCCATCTAATATTTATATTTTATTTAATTTGATCTTTATTTCAATTACCAAAAACTAATTTGAATTGCCTTATTTTTAGGTACAGTAACAACATGGATAAAGCAGACATCATATGTAAGATGACAATGCCTGAGGATGTATGCAGATTGTATTCATATTTTATAGAACTTACTACGTCATTTGAGAAGTTCTTCAACAAATGCAATACATACTCAGACAGCAGATAAATATCATTGTGTATGACACAAAAACAGTCGTACAAAGTTATGGATAAAGCCTCTTTATGGGTACTCTATTCAGTGCCTGATTAGAAATTGTAAAACTGCATTTACAGTGTATTTCACTAACCATGAAAATGTTATTTAATGTACTTTAAATACATATTACATAAAAAAGGCACACCTCATCCATAAGAACAAGGTTTAAAAGTGTGATTGAGAAAAGCCAGTGGTGAGGAGAGTGGGAAAGGCTGAATGAGTGAGTTCTGCTGATAACTGTGGGCACATTAGGGCTGATGCTAAAGGAGAGTGGCACCTCCTACAGACATCATGATTAATGAACACACTGATGTGAACCTCTGAATATGACAAAGAAGCTTAAACTAAACCAGTCCTTATGGGAGAAATGCTTATAGACCAGTACAACAGACACCACAACTCTTGTTGAGTGGTTTCCATCAACTGGAGAATATTTATACATGAACTGGACAACCATGAACAAAGGCACACTCCCCCCAACTCACATGTAATAAGTGTAAACTTCTATAAAGAATGTCTGCTTGCTATGAATGGGTTATGTAGTCTTACGTAATGATATGATATCTAAAAAAAAGTTTTTTATGGATTTAGCCAGTATTTACTGTTTCATGTGGCATGTACATACATACAAATGTAAACATATTCCCTTAGATTAACTATTTTAAACGAGGGTTGACGTTAGGAGTCATTAGGTTTATCATCTTTTAATGTGGTGTTGTAAACAAAATCCTCCCTTGGGGACAATGAAGGGGCCATCAAGGTGAAATTGAGAAATGGGTTGGAAGTGACAGGGTAAACATACTGACTTTGCAGCAGGTCACCTGAGGTATACTTCCTCACCCCCACCACAGGAAGACCGACCACATAAAAACAGGAAACTCCACTGCTCTAATACATCAAAGAGCTACTGTGCATAGGTGAAGTCCTCAAAATAGCCGTGCCAAACTCAAGGCAGATGGAGGACTTTTTGTGTAGGCTACAGAGGGTTATAAGCGATAATAAATTTGAAAGTCATATTTCTATTTGAATATGAATATTTCTATTTCTAGTTGAAATGTTGTATTTTTAGAGCGCTAGACGATGCAAAAAAAAAAAAACAGTCAAACACATTCGTCTAAAATGTACGGAAAAGCAGTGCAAAACGTGTTCTGCGTGGTCGCATTTACCTTTATATGGTGAAATTCTCAATTGAATTCTGCAGGATCTGTAATTTCCCACACAGATTTTGCATCAATTTTGTTAAACGTTTAACATGCAAATTCGACATGTTGACAAATATAAAGCTCCTTTGTTAGGAAGTGACCTCTTGAGTTAGTGTTCCATGTGTCACTACCCTATTGATAATGGGAAATATACCTTTTTTGCTAATATGACCGCACCTTTAGTGTTAAAAAAAATCAAAGCTGTTATGAAACTGGATTTTGATGAGTGGTGCTACCTATCAAAAGCGAAACTTCTAAGTTGACGCTACATCTTAAAAGTGCACACATGCGCAAGATGCTGAAAATACAATGAGTCGCAACGCAGTGGTCAAAGACGTTGCATGTAAACTAGATGAACATCTGCGTCTTTTCAGACATGTTTGCAGCCATATGTGTGCACAAAACATCCTGCATTCATTTACTAGTATGAGAAGGGAAAATGTTACTGCAAAACAGAAAACAGGCCTTTACCACTTAGTCATTTTTCCTACAAAAGTGTCAGAGATCACTATCTAGCAACTAGAAATATGGTCAACAACATTACATACATGGAAACAAATACTAATGAGAGTAATGTGAGTGTTGTTTCGTTTTTCTTTCTACTCTGTAAGTTGTGATTTCCTTTCAGCACCGGCCTAGGTTGGGCCCAGTGGTGTTCATTATCGGCTTCATTATCAAACTGAAGGGCAACAGATGATGTGTGCAGACTGTCTTACACATGATGCATGTCAAACTAGGACACAATTCCCCAATGTCACTTAGCACTTTAAAGACTACAGAGAAGGAGAGGGGGAAGGTTAGTGCGTTTGCTCTGTAAAATATTATCATGAAGCACTCCTGACTCTTCACATGGCTCCACGGCTCACTTTACAGAGGTGGTTTCTTTTGAACTCTTAACAGGAGGTGAGCACATCAGGATGAAGAACGATCAAGAGTAACTGGAACTCTAAATACAAATAAATCTCAACTGTATCAGAGAACAAGGCGTATTGGTGAATACACACAATCAGGAAGGCGGGAGGAACAAAGTGAGAGTGAAAGGGGGAAGGGTGGAAAGAAAAAAGAGGGGGGGGGGGGGGGAAGCGGGGCGGAGCTGTTATGGGGGCCCTTGTTCACATTTATCACCCATAATGAAGATGGGTGAGGGGCCTTTGCAGTACCCAACACCTCTGCCATGAGGGACCCTACACACACCTTTAATGAGCCTCAAGAAGCATGGGCGGCACCCACGATCTGTCCTAACACATGTACACCAGCGGGGTATGCCATTAAATTCCCAAAAATTATCATAATTCAATTTGTGGTACGATGCAAGTGCAATTATTAGTAAGAAGTATGCAAATTGTGTCAAAGCCTTCATTCAGATGTGCCGCAGGAGATGGAGATTAGTTGACCCAGAGCGCCATCTTTAGATTAAATATGTCGTTCATAATTCTTAATTTGTCCTTGAAAGCCATGACTTACTCAAAGACATCATAAAATAAATGTCATAAAATCATAAAATAAATGTTTTCTTCAGAAGGATTTTGATGATAGACTATGCTAAGACTGTGATAGTGAAGAAAATCATTCAAATGTTTACAATGAACGTACAATACTTGACGTCGCAGATCCAATTGTACACAATTGCATAAAACAGCAGCAGAACAAAGGAATAAGCATCACGAATGGAAATGGGACATTGTAACTCCGTTGCCTGTTGGCTCCAGACATCACACAGAAATAGCTGCTGAGCCAGTAGGTGTGGTGCCATGGCAACTGGGGCTCAGGTTTGATGTCACAACGAATCACCATAGCAACCTGTCACAGCATGAGGTCAGTGTTGCCATGGAGACACACCAACTGAGCAATGGGCTTGCCGTCTTTTTAGCAGTGTGTGTGTGTAAAGAAGGGAGGGTGCAAACAAGCCATGTTAAAAAATGCACCGCCGCAGCCAGCTCATTCCCCCAATTAACATTCAGCTTATTCACGCAGGTGTTTCACTGTTCTTGCCCAGTGGAGTGAATCACATTCTTAAAATCTTGATGAACAAACAAAATGTTGGTATTTACATATAAATGCATCCTTCCAAACAATTTGAACCACTTAAAGGGGTCATGAACTGAGAAATCAAAATTCCCTTTATCTTTTGACATATAAGAGGTAATTGTACAATAAAAACATCCTGTAAGTTTCAGAACTCAAAACTTTCTCATTAGTCTAAAAACAGCTTATTTTGAAGCCAATATGCCAAAAAGAAAGGTTGTTGAATGAGCCACTTTATGATGTAATAGTGTGGCTGAACACCGCCTCCGCAGAAGATCAACGCTTGCTTCTACTTTAGGCTTGTTTGAGATGCGCCTCGCCTCACCTGAAATGTAGGCGAGAGTAGGCGGCTGCAGTGAGGGGAGGAGTGAAATAAGCACAGTCAAGACAGACAGTTCTGACCTCTCGAAGTGGAGCAGATACCAACGAGATCAAAGGCGGATATCGCGTTATTCACACTTACATGCTGTGTTGCTAATAAACATGATATAATTTCAGTTCTGTTGCTTTTATATGAAAATAAATATGATGAACAAGACACTGAAAGTGCTTGCTATTTAATTCCATACGAAAGGTGTAATCATCCATTTTTACTTTAATACAAACATGTATTTTGTATTTTTATAGAAATATGACAACAATCACATTATCTCACACAGAGATCGCACTGTCATAGTGTTTGGGAACATTCATGCATAATTTAAATACATAAAATGCATTTAGCATGAAATCAGCTAAAAAAATTAAATATTTTAGAAGAGAACCGCAGCATCACAGGTGTCTGAACCAATGAGCATTAAGCTGTGACGTCAGTCAGTGGTTTCCCATCATGCTTTTGATCAGCGCAGTCAGTGGAAAGCAACTGCGCCCGACTGCACAATCCGACACAGCTGCCTCGCCGTCGCCAGAGTTTTTTGGCACACGTGAGTTCAACATTACTGCCTGTTTAGCCCCGCCCACCAATTCTACATCACTGCCAGTTTAGCCCCGCCCACCGATTCGAGCATGTAGTCTATAGGTGAGTTCGACTTCATGCAGTGCTGTGCAGACTGAATGGCGAGAGTAGCCGGTTGCAGTCGGGGGCGGAATTGAAAGCGGAGATGTTAAGTCGGACACTTTCTGCTCCCGGTCGTGACGCTCTTGGACACACGTCAGCATGACATCAGAGCAAGTCCGACGTAGCTCGGACACTTTTCTAACCGGCATGCATCTCGCAGTGATCACTGGTGATCGGTTCTGCGCAGATTTTGCTCATCTCAAACAAGCCTATAGCTACTTTTTTAGCCCCGCCCACCGATTCTACATCGCTGCCGATTTAGCCCCGCCCACCGATTCGAGCATGTAGTCTATAGGTGTGTTCGACTTCATGCAGTGCTGCGCAGACTGAATGGCGAGAGTAGCCGCTTGCAGTCGGGGGCGGAATTGAAAGCGGAGATGTTAAGTCGGACACTTTCTGCTCCCGGTCGTGACGCTCTTGCAGTTTTTGCATACTCTATCACAGATGAAGTGAATAACATGCAATTTTGTCAAATACACAGACGTTTCATAAACGTTTTCATGAGCAACAGAAACACTTTTTATATACTGCTTGATATGGCGCCATTTGTTCAAGAATAAAGTTCAACATAAACATATGCTATTTAAATACCAATAAAGTGGGGGTATATATGCTTTTATAAGTGTTTTTTTTTTTTTATAAACGTGACTCAAAATAACATTGTGACTACAGTAAAAAAGCTTTTACTGTTCTAAAAACAGATTTGTGAGCAGTATTGGAAGATGTTAGAAACACACGTCATTGTTGTCACATGGTGAATTTGGCCAATCGTGAAACAGCTGTGTCATCATCAGTGCTCCTGCAGTTCAGCCGGCTGATCTCAAAACGCTATCGCGGTACTTTGATACCACACGTGACATTGACGTACCGTCGGCGCCAGTTCAAGTCGGACACAATTTCTAACCGGCATGCACTGCTTCAAGTCAGCCACCGATCGGTCTGCGCAGCGCCGCATGAAGTTGAACGCACTATAGAATCCCCATAAAAGGACTTTGATGTAGTGTAAATAACTAGAACTGTTTTATTAAGTGGTCACTATTGCTTTGTCTGTTATTACTGATTGTTTGATTTGTACTGAGTATGTATGCGTTTTAACCTAAATCACAGCAGCGTCCATCTATGAAGGATGCAGGCTGTCAAACATACACATCTGCTAGCCAATCATAGCAGTGGGCGTTTCCTTTGAGTCTACAATCCGCCACGCTATAAGAGCGTTCTAATGAGGGTGGTCAAAACAGGACAGAAAAAAGCCTATTACTTCTAAATTCTTTCTGCTCCCGGTCGTGACGCTCTTGCAGTTTTTGCATACTCTATCACAGATGAAGTGAATAACATGCAATTTTGTCAAATACACAGACGTTTCATAAACGTTTTCATGAGCAACAGAAACACTTTTTATATACTGAGCACACAAGAGCCTAATTTTACCTACCAACTTGTTTGGCCTCCACAGCTGCTGTGTACTCCTTGCTGAAGCTCAACTCTGTGATGGCCACGTCGTCGAAAATAATGTTGAAGTCCTTAGCGCGTTCAAAGAGCTCCCGTCGGACGAGCAGAGAGACCTGCATGAAATCAGTGGAGAAGATAGCGAAGAATATAATCATTTTTAGACTGGAATTTGGAGATCTGCCTTCTTTTGAATATGGACTGTTCATATCTAGAATATGTGAAAGTCTTTCAAAACTGAGTAAGAGATTGTGATAAAATACTAACCTGGGCTCTTTGTGTAATTAGTTGGGATGCGTTAAATTTGGCGACCACACTCTTCAGAACTTCATTTACAATGGACGGCAGCACACGCTCATCGTAGTCCTTCCCCAGATGCTGGTACATGACAGGAAGGTGGGAAGCCACCGGTCGTGACAGCACACGCAATGCGATGTTCACCATCTGCAGGTCTGACCACATTACAACAACATTACATATTCACGTAAGAAATAACAACTTAAAGACTTACAGATTTGGTCGCCACATTTAAATAATAGGTGAACGAATTATGACTGTTGAAATGAAAGTAAAAAAAGCATGACTATGACAATGAAATAAGAAATGTTAAATTTACCTTTGCTTCCTGTTAAAGATGATATTTTTCTTGGTTTCACTCTGATATCATATATGATTGGATATTGAAACCATGGTATCCTATAAGAACAATGTTGTTATTTTTTTTACTTTTTAAAGATACAGCTTTCCTTTTTTATTATGGTGAGATAAAAAAATTTGGTTTGCTTTCAAAGAGAACAAGTATAGAAAACTGTTCAACAAGTCATTAAAAACAATTACCTGAAGTGGAGACCCTCAGAGAGGACTGTATCCATCTGCATCCCTCCAATTCTATTAAAGACAACTGCTCGCTGACCACCCTCCACTAGAAACAAGACAATTCGTGTGAGTGATGGCATTACCAGTCCTCTAAATTGATTATATTAATTTCAAAAGTTTAACGTTCAAAAATATTTTGTCCAAAAAGTCTCTTATACCCATCAAGGCTACATTTACTTGGTCAAAAATACTGTAAAAACAGTAATATTGTGAAACATTATTACAATTTAAAATGTTTCCTATATTAATAGATTTTTTTATTCATTCCTGTAAAAGCAAAGATTATTTTAGCAGCCATTACACCAGTCTTCAGTGTCACACAGTCCTTCAGAAATTATTCTAATATGCCAATTTATTATTAAGGTAAAAAAAACAGTTTTGCAAGGAAAAACCATGCATTAAGAGCCAGGGGGTGAACACTTTTGAACAGAATGGAGATGTGTACATTTTTCTTATTTTGCCTAAATATCGTATTTTTTAATTTAGTACTGCCCTTCAGAGGATACAGAAGATAGTTACATGTTTCTCAGAAGACAAAATAAGTTAAATTTACCCTGATCTTGAAATTCTAAATGTTTTCACCCTCATGTTTTCATGCTCTTAATGCATGGGTTTTCCTTCTGGAGCATCAGTGAGCGTTTGAACTTTCTGAAATAATTGCACAGCAGGCAGGAACAACTGCTCAGGAACAACGCACGACTCATGAACAACTAACACAAAACAGAAAAACAGTCGTGGATCATCCAGGAAATGACACAAAGTATTAAGATTCACGGGGTCATTTTTATAAATTAATTTTTTCTAGTGGAGTATACAGTATATAAACATCAGATATCTGAAATAGCTTATTCAGGACAGTACTAAATAAAAAATAACATGCAATTTTCATGAGCTCTCTTATTTTGTTCAAATTATTAACATATTTGTATATTCTGCAACTACTGCACAACTGTATATATATATATATATATATATATATATATATATATATATATATATATAAATAAAACTTGCAAGAGCTACCCAAGGTTGTCACGAACAACTTCCGCTCAAACCGGATGGAAGTCTGGGTAATGTAGTACTCTTGGTTATATACAAGTTTTGGACATTACTACATAGAGAACGGCTAATCTTTATAAAGCAATTATATGCTAGGTCATATCCAAGACTATATACTTCATTTAAAACAAATTTGATGTAACTAGGCCCACATGACAGCCATTAAGATATTTTAAATGGATAAAGATTTGTTCTCTAGTTAATTCTATGTGATTAATGTAAAAATCAAAATGCACAAACTGTTTTAAAACATCTGAACTGTTTTTGATTTGTTCTTATTTTCTCTACTTATTTTATGTCATGTTCACGGACATGCAATGTGTGACATTAAAATTGGCCACAAAAACATTCATTATAAAATCACTCATTCTGCCGAGAAAGACTTATGGGAGAAATGCCAGAGAGAAAGTATTAATATGAATATTTTAATCCATAATTATATCATTTATTTGAAAACACAGCCTATCTTACAGTTTAACTAAAAAAAAACAAAGAGACAATGAATAACCACACAGACTGGGAGCAAACCTTTTAAAAACTGCTGATAAGGAAGCAGTGTACATCGCAGGTTTGAATTTAAGAAGGAGAAGAAGAAAAATATACAACCAGGTTGTCATGAGCATGATAGCTCTTATGTACAAGTCCTTATCTGCCATAAAACTGGTGTGACCATTTGTCTTGAAACTGGGTTTTACTGAAATGTTCCCTTTAATGCTGTTGTCACAGCGCCTCAGAAGAAATACTCAGTATGTAGAGTGTCTCCTCTGGCTATTCAGACTTGTAGTGATGGGTCCATGTTCTGGAGTGACAGTAAAAAAAAAAAATAATAATTTAAAGGTTCCATGTCTCAGACGTAGAAGAGTCGTACCCGGGATGTGCTGACATGAAGATCGTCATCATAAAACTTGGTCTCTATAACAACATTACCACTGCAAGAGACGAAATTTAATGTGTGATTAATCCATGAGCAATTTTGACTAATATCTAATATGTAGATTATCAGACCCCCCCAAGAAAACTCTTACGTTAAGACATTTGCAGGCATCATCTGTGACTCTGGTGCAGCTTCTATCAAAGACTGCCATGTGTTTGTAGAATTAGGAATCACAAAGCCAAACTCAAAAAACCACTCTGAAAAAAAAGACAAGGTACATGTGTAAGTACTTTGTTTTCACAGTCAGGTTTTCAGAAATCTTTTCAATTCAAGTCAAATTGCAAAAGGTTTTCCCATTACACAGATAAAGTAACCTGACAAGTCTGGAAATTTATATTTTATATAATATCAGTCTAATTCCACAAAAAAATGACGGCAAGCATATATCAAAATGTAAATGGCCAACTGTTGTGAATTAGTGGTGAATGTGTAATAAATGGTTTATTGAAAGCAATCTTAGAACATTGCATTTAAATGATACTGTTCAGGATATTCAAGAATATTAAGAATAGTACAAGTACATGTTTAAATGTTTCACAAGTTACATGTACCTGTGATTTGGACTGCATTAAATCAAAATCTAACTAAACAATGACTATGATACGAAGGTCACATTAATGCAATATCACGATCACATGTTTAGCACAGTTTATATATGACACATTTTAGCAGTGTTTAGTTAGAATGTTTATGTATGTTTAAAAGCAAAGATGAGAATGTATGGTTAGTATTCAGTATGCTTTTGTCCAAATTTACTAAAGGAAATAAAGGTGGTGTATTAACCATTTTTTAACACTACAGTTTTGTGACAAATTTTATTTTATTTTTTTACATTCTTTGATTTTAGTGGTGACACTGTCAAAAAGGATTATGTCCTTTTTTTTTATCAATGGACAATGATTAAAGTCATGGAGCTCCTTACTTGAGAAGACATCTCTGTGTTAGATCATTAGTGACCCTGGACCACAAAAGCAGTCTTAAGTCGCTGGGGTATATTTGTAGCAATAGCCAAAAAAACACTGTATGGGTCAAAATGATCAATTATTCTTTTATGCCAAAAATCATTATGATATTTAGTAAAGATCATGTTCCATGAAAATATTTTGTAAATTTCCTACCGTAAATATATCAAAGCGTAATGTTTGATTATTGATATGGATTGCTAAGAACTTCATTTGGACAACTTTAAAGGCGATTTTCTCAGTATTTTGATTTTTTTTGCACCCTCAGATTCCAGATTTTCAAATAGTTGTATCTCGGCTAAATATAGTCCTATCCTAACAAACCATACATCAATGGAAAGCTTATTTATTCAGCTTTCAGATGGTGTATACAACTCAGTTTTAAAAAATTGACCCTTATGACAGGTTTTGTGGTCCAGGGTCACATTTTAATGATATTTCAGAACCAGCCACTTTACAAAAGAGAGCTCTAATTTTATGCTACTATCATCACCGCTATTCCTTATCACTAAAGTGCAATGTGCAAGAAAGAATTAGAACAACCTTCTAGGCACTGGCCTTTAAAGAAAACTTTTTGTTCCAGTCGGAATTTTTCCAGTTTTTCTACTGAAGAGAAATTCAGCTCTCTGGAGACAGCTTTACATTTCAGGATCTTCTTAGGAACCCGAGCTGGAAAACAAAATCCTATGTTAGTTACCAGACACGGCCCATTCTGTACCAAATTCAAAACTGATCTTGACCTCTCACTGACATCACTAAAAAGAGCAGTGAAGTAGTGGACATAAGAGAAGAACTGGCATAGCTCAATCAAGTCAATAGTTTAAATCTTTAATGCAAGGTAATGCTGAGAACCACAAACCTTCATGTTCTACCCCAGGAAGAGAGAGGTCTTCAGTTCCCTGCCAGAGAACCTTCCCTGTCTCTGCATCTCTAAGATTCATCCAGTTTCTGAAGACACGTTAAGGCATGCTGAACAGACTAACAATGAAAATGTCTCCTGATATCAGGGCCAACTTTCTAGAAAATGGCATTTGACAAGAAGATAAATTTGCATGATGTCAACGGTAGATAAAACTTCTCCAAATGAATAACTGGAGTTTTGTGTCAGGCTCATTGGGCCACAAGTAACAGTTCACATAAACATGAAGACTGTGTTATCTTTTACCTCATGTCATTTTAAACTTGTATGACTTTTTTTCATCAAAAGAGATGTTTAGAAGAATGTTCAATAGCCATCAAACTCCAAAAATAACAAAAAAGCAATATAAAAGCAGTCCATAAGACACTTGCACTATATTCCAACTCTTCTGAACCACATAATAGATTTGTGTTAGGAACACACTTTAATACCTTGCTTGTTTTTTGTGTTCCACAGAGAAAAGTGAGTAAATCTCAAAGGGCATGATGAGTTAAATATTCCCTGAAATTATGTCTAAATTCAAGAACATTTAATCACTACATTTAGCAGCAATTAGTCATAAATCGCAAACGCAAACAAGCCCAGCAGGGCTAACTGAAACAGACCACACCTGAAGTCCAAAAACAGCCTGATCTGTCAGCTAAACAATGGATTGTGACAATGTCCTTTACTTTGTGTCAATGACATCTGACCTCTTCATCTTCAGACCACCTGCATGAGTCTTTCAGGCTAGTAAAGCACACTCACACAAGGCAGCATGTGTCATTACAGGTGCATAGCACAGGCCGTAGTTACCAACCCCGTGAGAACTCAGTCAGGGCTGCATAAGTGTGCTACATGTATCACTAATCCTAATCTATCTCTCAAGCATTATTAGCGACACATAAATGCTTCTTAACAAATGCAAATCCCCAAGTTGTTCCTGTAGGAATAAAAAGGGCTCATCATAAAAATCCTTCATTAAAAAGTTAATAATAATAATATAGTGTTGTCAAACAATTAATCACATCCAAAATAAAAGTTTTTTTTACAAAATATGTATGTGTACTGTGCATATTTATTATGTATACATAAATATACATTTTTTTTATTAAATATAAATATATATAAACACACATACATACAGTATATATTTTCAAAATATTTACATGTATATACATTTATATTCTTGTATTTTATATGATATATAAATACATTTAATATATAAACAACATATTTTTCTTAAATATATACATGTATGTCTTGCTAACTGTAACCAGCATCTCTTACAGCATCAATAATACTGAAGTCCTGGTTTCCCAACCGATAAATGAATTACCCAATCCAGATTTACACCCGAATAAACATAGCTAGCTATAATGCAAAGTTGTGTGAGTTTGAGGCTTGTAGCTAACAGGCTAATCTGTCCCATCATCACTTAAGGATACAGTTTAAACCCCTTCATAATCTCCTTCGCTCTGTCTTCATCCGAAGACATCTTTTTCCTGGATCTTCAGCTTCAGCAGATGAAACGAGACGAATAAAAACGTTCCGCCGAGGAATAGCTAATAAATATTGGACAAAATAGTTTGTTAATTACATAAAATCCACCTCGGAAAAGCTTTTAGTTACAGTGAGATCCAGCTTTAACCTGAACGGATACACTTGATCCGCTCACAACCTACTGTAAATAGATTTTTGTGGGAGACTGATAGCTGGTTCGACCAATCATCTTGCGAGTTTTCGAAGGCCTGGATTAAATGCGCCAATCGTAGCGGAGATGCAAGAACCAGGGCGGGGTTTGGTTGCGTAGGGACGCGTCACCGATGGCAACCCCTCAAACGTCCTTCGAGCGCAGCAGAACGGAAGCGCGTGTGAGACAAAAAGTTATCTGTACATCATTTGCTATGGAATAAATAAGGCGCTTCAGGGGATAACATATACATACATTTCAGATGAATAGCGGTCTATTTATGGACAGTGGGCTTTAAACGAGGCCAGTGTACGTACAGATTGTTCTCTTTTTTTATGTAAAATATTTTGATGTCACGAATTGTAGTTAACAAACATGCCAAGTAAGTTAGTTCAGACAAAAAGATGCTGGAGCATATGGGTCAACCATCTTTGTTTGTACTCCATTTTATACTTTACGAGAGATTTAAAAATAACATAAAATAAAATTTATATTTTCTAAAAGTTAGGCTATATTTTTCAAATTATTAACACATTAATAACATGTATTATGATAATGTTTTATAATAGAAAGGCTCATCCCTTCAGTGTAGTGCAGAGTAGAGCAGAGGGTACTTTATGTAAATTCATGAATTATTTTTCCATGAAAAAATAAGTAAGTGAATAATATATATATATATATATATATATATATATACATATATATATATATATAGTTTCTCGCATGTAGTCTATAAAAGCAGTTTAGCAGTTTACTATATAATGAAAGCAATTGCAAATTGAAAAGAAAGTGTCTGCAAATTATGTAGTCTATAAAAGCAGTTTAGCAGTTTACTTCATAATAAAATAATGAAAGCAATTGCAAATTGAAAAGAAAGTGTCTGCAAATTATATGTCTAAAAGAAGCCCTGCGGCTAAGCAAAAACCAGCACAGGGAATAATGATGGCTATATTTGTGCAATTTATGAACTAGTCTCAAAATGCTCTCCTTGTGACTGAAGAGTGGTCATGTAAAAACCACAGAGATCTGTATAGAGTTCTCCACATGTCTCTGCTCTACTCAGCACTACACTACAAGAACGAGACTTAGCCTATATTAAGATCAATGTTTTTATTATAAACAATATATTTTATTATTTATTTTCTTTTATTGTATAATTTCATGCACCTGTAATGGCAGAGTGTGGCCAGGGGATGGTGCGATAACACAAGCAAAGAAAATAACCACTTTTGCAGAGCCTTGACCTCCAACGTTTCAAGACATGAATTAATTTCACCTATTCATTCCATTCATTACATGTATTTGAAATGAATACACGATTTTAGCTTACACATAGTAGTAGTTTGCACTGAAAACAAAAACAAAAACAAGTAATTAAGTAACAGAATATAGAAGTAAAGTTCATGGACACTTAATCATTCATTAACATTACCACAAAAAAATAACTACATATTCTACAGCCTATATTACAATGGAGATATATAATGCTATTTCAGAGATATCACAGCCAAAAGTGAATGGATGAGAAACTGGGAGGAGAAAGCCCTTATATTAACAGTAAATCTTATGTCTCTGCAGTGGTCTGCAAAATCCCATGCAATCTATTACATAAATTGCTGTCTCTGCCTCTCCCAGCAACTTGAAATATACTTGTGCATGGATTTCATTTTTTAGCAAAATACTAAATTTGACATTGCATCTTTCAGTCGGACTGCTCAACCACAAATAGCACTGTACACTGCATTTAAAACAGGAGATCTATGCATGTTCTTAGACTTGCAAACTGGCATAAATATTACACAAACACTATAAAGTTCCTGATTAATAGGTTAAAACACAGGAAATCTCTTCCAAGGAGACATTATGCCAGAAAACACACTTTCACATTTTTATTATTTTTCAAGCAACTGAGCTTTACATTGAGCTAAATGTACTCTTACTCAAATTCTGTCAAGTGTCAAATGTTGTTCTGGTCAGTGTCAGTTGACTCAGTGATGGAGAATGATGTCATATGAAAGACAGGAGCAGAGATCCTCTACACCACAAACTCATCACTTCAAATTACTCTTCCAGGGAGGAGACAAACTTAGACTTGAGCTGTTCAGTTAATAATTACACCTTTCACCTCATCTTTAATGCATGATTAGGTCTCATATCAAAGGTGGTATGATGAAAATGCTCACAAAAATTAAGACAGGCCTACTGACGTATATACCCCATAAGCACTCTTTCAACCTCTATACACTTTATATAAAATAAGCAGGGCATGTTTTAGCTCCTACATATTTACATGAACTAACTGATCTATTTTTAAGCAATACTCTTTTAAGAATTACATTAATTAAATTTCATCATCTGCTGTTTTCAATAAATACGCTTCATTTTAAATTTTTATGTTATTCCAGTTCTTTGAACGGAGAGTTGCTTTTGTGGTTGTTATCGTGACAGTTCAGAGCAGTGAGGCCATTACATAAAAGACAGTGCTCAATCCAGCCTCACACATGTAATGCTGTTTTATGATGTCAGAGCTGCAGCTGTTCAAATCATTTCGACAAAAGACAAAAATCGCATTACCAGTTCCCAGGAAACTGCAATATTTTGCACCCTGTTGTTTAGTGTGGTAATCTCTTTAAAATCATATCACATCAAAAAATGTAATTGCTTTTGGGATAGGCCAATTTTAAAACATGTAAGATTGAAGAGAATCTATCTCTCTTTCTGCAACTATCCAGCAAGCACCCAGGACACCCTAGCAACCAACTAGCTACCATTCAGAACACCATAGCAACCACCCAGAACACTATAGCAACTGCCCAGAACATCGTAACAACCACCGCAGAACATACTAGAAATACCTGAGTAAGTACAAAGCAATACCCTAGCAACCACCAAGCAACCAGACAGAATGTCTTAGCAACTGCATAGTAACACTCTAACATCTGCTGAGCAACCACTTAGAACACTCTAGTAATAGCACGGCAACACCCTGGCAACCACCCTAGAATCTGCCTATGATGACAGAAACCCCTAGCAACTATCCAGAGCACCTAGAAACACCTTAGTAACTGCATCACAACAACTGTCTAGCAATCATACATAACAACAGCATAGACAGTCACACAGAACACCCTAGCAACTATTTAGCAACCACCCAGAACGCCCTGCCAAACGGCTACACCCCCTCAACCACACAGAACACCCTAACAACCACTTAGCAACCCCCAGAACACACTACCAAATGACTATAACCTCCCAACAACACAGAACCAAATGACATTACCAAACAACCACACAGAACACCCGAACAATGACTTAGCAACTACCCAGAACACCCCGCCAAATGTCTACGCCCTCACAACCACACAGAACACCTTAACAACTTAGCAACCACCCCGAACACACTACCAAACGACTATGACCTCACAACCACACAGAACACCATGCCAAATGGCTACGCCCTTACAGCCACACAGAACACCCTAACAACCACTTAACACCCTGTCAAACAACTATGACTTCACAACCACACAGAACACCCTACCAAACGACTATGACATCACCACCATAAAGAACACCCTAGCAACTACATAGAAACCAACCTGAACACCCTAGCAACTACCTAGCAAGCACCCAGAGCACCCTAATAAACATCCATCCACCCTAATAACACAGAAGACCCTAGAAAATGCCTAGCAATGCCCTCACAACCACAAAAAACATCCTAGCAACCACTCAGAAAACCTTAGCAACTGCCAAGCAATGCCCTCACATAAAACACCTTAGCAACCACCCGAAGTCCCTAGCAAAAATGTAGTTAAACATAAATGTTCTACTATTTGACTGCCATGACTGGCTTTCAGATAAACACCAAAGAAATATGGAGATTTTAATGAGAAATCAGCCAGTCGATTGCACTCAGTGCTTTTGGCCACACGTGTGCCTTTTTGCTGTTCGCCCCATGAAATCATTTTTATTTTTGAGTGAATGGAGAATAAAGACTATTCATATACTGTATGAGGGAATGCTTGAGTTGTATAACAGCTCTAGCACGGCCAGTGTGAGTCCATTGTGACTCTCAGAATCCTGAGCAGAAGGTCCAGGTGCACATCAACAATTCAAAGTTTTTCCTGTATGTATCTTTAGCACACAACTTATTATATTGATTTGGGTTAGTTATCGCCGACAAAATGACCAAATTATCCATTATCACTTAAACTTCTCTCTTCCAGGGAGAAATGATGCTAGAATTAGCTCTAATGTTGACTGCAAATGGAGCTGAACAGGAAATAGAGTGTGTGAAAAGGGCTTGCAGTGGCTAAATGGGAGAGCGCATAAAAAAGGCAGGAAATTAGGTAAAGCTCATTAAAAGAGAGTGTTGCAGCTGGAAGATAAGCAGACTGTGACTTCTCTATTAGACAGCTCGTTACCTGGAGTTATCGAGCAGCAAAGACCAATCATATTGCATGCAGCTATAGTCTACAACAGAAGATAGATTAGTGTCCACAGAGACGTCTCTGAAACAGAGAAACTATTAAAGCTTTCAGACATATCCACACATTCAGCATATCGTATTTTACCACTTTATCATCAAGACATTTGCTAGTATGGAGCATTGCATCTGATCTGTGAAACTCTGAAATGTTATTTGCTGATTTACATTTAGATCTGTCCACTGTGATAACAGTAAAATTGATAAAACCCCCATTTGTCAGGCAGCTAACTGTTACTAATCAGAACAGAAAGCTTTTTCATCAAAACAGGCACATTGATTTTTCATCAGAACCATTTTTGTCCTCTTTCCCCATGTAAGTCCCATCCAGTGTTACAGTTATAATTATTGTCTTGTTTCCAGTCGCTCAGACAACATTAGCTGGTATATTAGTCCTGATTCTGCCAATGGAAAGAAATTATTAGTTCAATGTTCACTGAGCATTACAGTGACATTGAGCTCTCAAGCAAACTGTGCTGCCTAAATTCACAGTTTTTCTTTACAAAGATACAA